ATTTACAAGGGAAAATCTATACTTAGTTCTTTTTTCAATTCATATATTCAGGACCCTGGAAGTATGCCTCACTGTCATTCAAAGAGTCATGTCTGCAAGGCTGATTCCTTAATGGTCTCTATTTGAAGGTCTTATCATTTTGATTCAAAGAGTCAATCACATCATCTATAACCAGGCAACAGCATGAATAAACACTAACAATTTCCTTCTACTTCTTTATAGTCTGATACACAATACAGACTCTAAGGTTATTATATAACATTTAATATTTCCAGAAATGAACCATTATACAGTAGATATTTGAAGATGGTCCCTACCCCACACCCCCCAAAAAGCAAAACACACATCTACAGTATAGAATCACTGACATCTTAAATCTCTGTCATTCTATATGTTGTCTAAAATGTAAGCAGTGGTCTGGGGTGGTGGCTCAGTGATAAAGCGCTTGCCTAGCATGTGTGAGATACTGGGTTTGATTCTCAGAACCACATATAAAAGTAAATAAAATAAAGGTCCATTGACAACTAAAAGAATATTTTTAAAAAAAATTTATGAAATGTAAGCGGTCTGTTTTTCCTGGTCCAAGGTTCCTCCTGAGGTACTTTTTGTCATTGTTTTTTTAGTAAGACTCACCCAATTTTTCTGTTTTAACATTTGGAATAGATTGTACATTGTTGTGTTGTTAGAAACCTAAGTACTGATTGGATCAATGAATAAGCTTCAAGGCTGCTGCCTGACAACCAAACTTAGCTTCTCCACTATTCCTTAGGACCTGCTTACCAGAGACTCATGTGAGTTCAGTATATATCAGTAGGCCAAGCCAATATCTCTGTCACAGTAATTTTCTGCTTTTATTTATTTTTCCCTTGCCCAATTTATTTTAGGCCTGATCTGAGTTTTCCATTCCAAAGACCTGTGGAGCTATGCTCAATTTTCTGGTTTCTCCTTAACTATGGAAAAGCAATCATAGTTGCCAGATCAGGTAAACTATGATTTAAAACTCAGCTTTCTCAGTAGATTTACTCAGATCAGTGGAATTAGTTGTTCCATGTAGGAACAACAATTGGAAGTGTTTTTCAATAGAACTAATTTTTAGGCAGGAAGTATGATATTAAATAAATTTTATTTGAACAAATAGTTGAATGATGATTGTAGTGGATTCATGAAATAGTGAAGTAGTTCTCAGTAAAATGGCAATAATGAATTTTTAGGTTAACCATCAATTTGAGAGTACTAATGTTTTTAAATATTTTGTAGTCGAAAGTCAAGTAAATTAAATAGTTGATTTTCCCTGGAACATTCTGCTGCTTCTTCCTGAAAAAGGAAAAGCTTATTCATTTTTGTAGTCACTATTGTTCTATCTTATGAAAATAATAATATGCCATATTATTATGAATGTGTAACAAAATTAATCACACAGTCTAGAAGCTTACAAATGAAGGCCAGATAAAGTTTGTGACTTTCTGTTATGACTTGTTTAAATGACATTAAGGAAAAATCTTTCTTCTCCAAATGTTCATGAAGGTAAATGGCATTTTCAGGTTTTACAAAATTGGGTTCCTCATGGTTGGAATGTAGTTGAATAATTCAGTATAAATTTCCAAATAGAGTGATCTGAAATTATTCTGCTGTTAAGAATGTAGCAACTAAGTCAATTAAAAATTGGATGAATACTTCACTGGATAGCAAGATATAAATAATGCACATCTCTTGGGTAATTAGCAAACTGTGTCTCCTTTGAAGCAGTAACTTATTTAACTTTCCTCATATCGTGGGCCTAGCTGAGCCACAGGATGTATTTGAATGCAGCATAGGAATCAAGGAATTCATGGAAGCATGTATGGCTCTTCCAGGTCTGAAGAGATGATCTGATTGGTTGACTGGACTTAATAATGACAGTAACTATTACTTCTCCATAATATAAAACCTAAAGTTGTTCTCCATATGCACTGTAATGATCATTTGGCTTCATATAGACTAGATAGATGACAGATGAATGAATAAATAGAAGGATACTTCTGTATACCTATGAAATAGAATTAAGAGTGAGGGTAATTCAGTATTGAAGATCAAAAATGGAGCTTGAGGAGTAATCCTGGACATTTCTAAGACATAACTAAGACATAACTTTTATCAGAGGACTTACTCCATCAACTTCCATACTTTAAATTAATAGTATAATTTGGGAATCAAATTGGTGTGTTTAAAACTTTTCCTGGAAGATGCTACAACATTCTTTTAATTATGTATAAAGCAGAAGTTTTTTTTCAGAGACTTGATATATTTTAAAACTATTGTTATATAAATATAAAATTAGTTGGCCAATTCACCTGAGTGGTGAAAATGGTACATACAGTTACTTAATGGTAGAATTTACTGTGCTTCTCTACATGCTATACATTGAATAATGGTTATTTTAGTAGTAAGTTTTTTTTTAAATTTTTTATTGTTGGTTGTTCAAAACATTACATAGTTCTTGACATATCATATTTCACACTTTGATTCAAGTGGGTTATGAACTCCCATTTTTACCCCGTATACAGATTGCAGAATCATATCAGTTACACATCCATTGATTTACATGTTGCCATACTAGTGTCTGTTGTATTCTGCTGCCTTTCCTATCCTCTACTATCCCCCCTCCCCTCCCCTCCCCTCCCCTCTTCTCTCTCTACCCCCTCTACTGTCATTCATTTCTCCCCCTTGTATTATTTTTCCCTTTCCCCTCACTTCCTCTTGTATGTAATTTTGTATAACCCTGAGGGTCTCCTTCCCTTTCCATGCAATTTCCCTTAGTAGTAAGTTTTTTTGTATGGATGTAAAGACTCATTTGAAAATAAATAATGTTATTCAATATTATTTTAAGAGGAATTAAATTCAAATCCTCTTTTTATGCTTGAGTGGCTTAAGCTATATTCAGGAATCAAATTTTTAACTGAATGTTGTGATACAGAATTTATAGGTAATAAACTACCTGTAGTACTGTCTTCTTCTCTTCTCTCTCTCTCTCTCTCTCTCTCTATATATATATATATATATATATATATATATCCATCCTTTATTCTTTCAGAGTCCTTTTAACTAATTATTAGTAATCTTTCTATAATATTGTTTTCCAGGTTTATGCCATCAGTCTATCTTTATAGATTAAAACATTCATAACTTAATTCTTTAGGAATGAAATGATTCTGTCTTATACCAAAGTTCATTTAATAGCTAGGAAAGATAAAGGAATCCCTGCTATGATTTAGTTCTGAATTTTATTATGCCATAATTGAGTATTTGACAATGCTTCAATGTAAGAAGAAACCATGAAAATTTCCTTAAATTATTATGCAAATTAAATTACAGGTAATGGGCATGAGCAGGAAGAAATGTTTATTCAAAATATATTTGGAAAATGTTATCCTCAAACTTAACAATAATTAATATTTCCAGGACCACATACACATATGTGCACATGTGCTCATAGAGTGAACTAGAGATAGAATTTATGTTTTTTACATTTTTTTGATCTTGTAGGAAAAGGGCTAACCACTTTCAATTCTTTACCCTTATTAAAGTTATTTGGGAGGACTGATCTTCCCCCACCCTACAATAATCCTAAAGAATTTCTCATCCACACATTCATTTTGCTTATGAATTTACTTATTCAACTGATAGGTACTAATGTCATAGTATGACTTTCAGAAATACAATTATTGCATCACTTATTTTATAAAATGAAGTATATTTTAAATTGAAAACCATTAGTTTTTATTTAAACATTGAATCATTGTGTAGTTTCTACTGTATTTACAATATCAGATAGAAGTAATTTTAAATTAGTTCTATAAACTTGTTGAGATTTGAAATTATATTCCTGAGTATTATTAATCAATTTACATGTAATATGACCCTATATATTTTCTATATGATATGAATAGTCCATAAAATGTAATACTGTATGAACCACATTCTACTTTTCTGATTTATTAAAATTGCGGTATTATGATAGAGAACAAATGTATGTTTTACAAGTTGTAATACATTACCAAAAATTCATTTTGCACAAAAAATGAATATGGCTAAAGTGGTACTAAAGTAATATCTTTGACTCCTCCTCCACAACCTCCCAAATAACTCAGCTCTTAACTGCCACAATTTTTTGTATTCATTTCCTTTCTCAATCTCTATCGCCCTTGTCAGTTCAGATCTGTTTAATCTTTCCCCAATCTTTATTCTTTGTATTCTTCAATCTATGTTCCTCCTCATTATTATCTTAGCTTTAAACTAGAGCTTTGAACAACCCAGAAATGATCTGAATCTGAACTTTTCAAAAACTTTAGTTATTTACACTGTTAGCTAATTGAGCAACAATCCTCAGCTTGGTGTTTAAAGGTATTCCAAAATATGGTCTCAAATTATCTCTAGCACAATGATTCTTTCTTAATCATGGGCCAAAATTGATTTTAAAAAAATGTTCAAATGGATGCATGCAAAGAATTGTATATAATTTAACAGAATTTCTAAAACTTCTCCCACAGGGCTTGGAAAATGTCTTTTCTCTACAGCCATACTTACTTTCTGCTACACATATTTTAAATTCTGTCCCGGAGAAACCATAAGCAACTTGAGGACTGACATGGTGTTTCATGCAGTTAATTTTCGCATATTCTCATAGTACTTCCCAAATGTCTCCATCAGACAACTTGACCTTTGGAATTTTTCCATTGTGTTCTTCTGGAAATGCTTTTATTTCCTTTATCTAACCTGTTGACCTGTTACCTGGATAACTTGGGAAGCCTTTGAGGAAGATAAACATCATGTTTCAGGTTTTCATCACTACTATTCTTCCTAAGATAAATTATTTTTTCTGGTGGGAAATAATTTTTACTAAAAACCTTGGTCGATGCTCACATTGATGAATGCAGGCTTCATTTGCATTTAAATGTGATGTCTGTTGAGTTTATGTCAACTAAACAAGTGTTCTAAGGTGTATTTCAATTTCTATTTTCCAGGTTTCTTGAGTACAGGGGATCAGGCCGCAAAAGGAAACTATGGACTTCTTGATCTCATACAGGCTTTAAGATGGACTAGTGAGAATATTGGATTCTTTGGTGGTGACCCCTTGAGAATCACTGTTTTTGGATCAGGCGCTGGGGGTTCATGTGTCAATCTGCTGACTTTATCCCATTATTCTGAAGGTAACCGTTGGAGCAATTCAACCAAAGGTATTATGCAGGTTGCAAATTTTGACAATTTTGGTGTCTGCATGCCACCACCATCAGTAATATGTGATACTTTGTATATACTTCTCTGTTCAAACTGAGTGTGAGGTTGAATTCAATAACTGTTTAAAACTATGTTTCTTCAGCTTTCTATGCATGTTTAAATTTTTGTCAAACTCTTCTTTGTCTCTTGTGGAGCTTGGTAAGGATGCCCTTTCAAGCACACTACAGATTAGCTGGTATTGTAGTTATTTTCTTTTCTTCAAAGGATGATTTGGGGGAAAATCAGGCAAAGACATTAGCAGTTTTGTCCTCTTTGTTTATTCAGTAATCAAAATCAAATAAGATTTTTTTTTTATTTAGCACAGGGATTGTATATAATCTATTTTCAAGACAATAGACATTTTAAGCCCTTTAGTAGTTTGAAACTAATGGAGCAGTCATAAACTAGTTTGTCTGGAATCATAAGATTTCACTTGTTGTCTGAGAAGAGAATGGATATTTGATTATTTTGCATGCATGATCCAAAATTGTCAAAGCATCAAGGTCACTAGTTGAGTTTTTGGTTAAAAAATAAAATACATTTGATTTTGTGACTTTTTCTATTTTCAACTCCAAAAGTGTTTTTCCCCTAAAGCTTGGCAAAGGAGCTTGGAGCACTAAAGCTGCTTAAAACTATGGAATATTTTTGTTTACATTTTAGCTTTGACATCCTTTTTCCAAAGTGCCTGTTCAAGGCTCTTCATGTTGTTCTTTATGAGCTCCATTTTACCATGTGATAAGGAACCCATTCTACCAACATAATTAATTTAAAACTTGAAAGACCAATAAAGAACAGAAAAGATTTGTGAAGAAGTCTGGAAAGTAAATATTTTTCTCCATTATTTATGTATAATAGGAAAATAGAGAATATGCATCAACACAGCCCAATTTTTATTTTATGTTTCTTAATTCTCATTTTATATATATGGAAAACCTAAGTATATATTATCAAGCAAAATTTATGAAGCATCTTATTTTGTGAAACTTTTATGGTTGAGCATCATGCATAGAATATTTGTTTTAGTTATCAAAGATACATTAAGGTGGAATTCTAAAAGAAAAACCAATCATTGAGTGTATAGAGAGAATTTTGCTTTATTTAATTTATTAACATATTTTATATTGCATCTCATTTATATTAGTAAGATTCTGATTTGAGATGACAAAATTATATAGCTGAGAATACTTTCAAATGCATAGAGATTTTGCTTTGAAATGAAATGGCTTATTTTGAAATAACAGATTTTGGATTTTTAATTAAAAAGATTAGATTGTTCTAGCGATAGCACCTTATTTGTGCCAATATTTAGGCAAGTTAGCATACATTACTGATATCACTGGAATAGACTTCTTGGGCTCATTTTAACAAAAATGGGTACCAAAGCTAGTTTTAGCTTATCAAACTAGCATTGGATAAAAAAAAGTTAGTTTATCAATCAACATCGCTATTCAACAATTGGCAGTGAGGAGAACACTGGCAAATGGTTCTGCAAATAGTAGAAAATATAACCTTTCATCATACCATTCAAGGGAAGCTCTGGCCAGAGACAGAGATAGGTTTGTTTTTAAACCTATCTCCAGGATGTGCTGTCAGACTTGACCAAGACAGGCTCAAATCTCTTGAAATAATCCAAAAGATTCTGCCTCCAATGTAATCACTGGCTTCAAAGTCTGTAAACTCCATAAAGGGCTGCAGCAGTGTGCAGGCTGTGACCCCAGGAGTGAGCTACATCTCCAGTACATTCAACAAGCACTGTCAATAGTGATAAAATAAATGGTCTTTCCCAAGACCTTCTAACTGGGGTATTTCAGGCAATATTTAACATGATGTGCATTTTTCACTAAATCTTTTTGGGGCATAGTTAGTTAACATCACTAAGTCCTGGAAATTCAAAGTATATCATCAAAGTCACTAGGTTTATATTAATTGTAAAAATTTTTAATTCATAAAGTATTTCTTCAAGCAAATTTTGACAGCAGCTTATATGTCTTTAAAATTTTTGGTATTTGTATTGTTTATTCTAGTACACCTTGTTTTATCAAAGTAAAAATATGTTTCCAAAGAGTCAGAAAGTAAAATTGTTTAACTTTTTAAAAATGTTTAGAACTATCTAGGAACACATTATAGACATTTTTAATATATATGGATGTTTGGAAAAAACTTTACTTCTAATTTAGCAGTTGTAAAAGAAGTTACTGTAAAAGGAGTTATTTTCTCATTAACATGTATGAATAATTAAGCATATTGTTAAATAACTGAACTACAAAGCTGCATCTGGAATTGATAATAAATGTAAAAATTTAAAAGAAAATAGACAAATTATAGTTTAAAACAAGAATGTCATTATAAAGTACCCTATTAAGTAGATTAGGGTAAATGCATTTGTAAATTTGAATGACATGCAGCTCTTATCAAGCTACCTATGGGGCCATAATTTACAATTCTTAAACACAATTAAGTAAAAAGCAGTGGACCATGTATGTTTCACGTTTTCTGATAGATTAATGCAAGGTACATTCAACAATGGAAGATGTTAAATCACCCACCCCAACTGGATTTTCTGCTCATGATTTTTTCTTTAACTTAGTGAAGACACTTCAAATGTTATGTCTTCTCTGAAAGAAAATATTCAGCTTACAATGTCTGACATGAAGATCTGGAATGAGTATGTCAAAAGTGATACTTTGTTTTGTGTGACTTTAAGGCCATCCCCAGGGTATTAACAAATTCCCAACCCCAGTAGTTTTATGAGACTACACGTCTTTTTCAAAATAAAGCTAGTGTAATCAACACACAGAGTTATTTTGAGAGAAGAAAGATAAAATCAATTTGGAGAAAATATCCCAAATAAACAATACAGTCTGATGGTGAGTCAAAAGAGAGAGGATTGGCCCCCTCTGGTTGGTGTTGACTGTGTTTACATGCTCCTAGAAGATAATATTTGGGGCTTTTTTCCTGTAGTATTTACAACTTATCCTCTTCTCTTTGCTTACTGCCTCTTTGAGACTGCAAAACTTTAGAACTATAATCCCTATAACAGGTGTCACTTAAAGCCCAAGACTTAATTACATCTCTGATTCATTATACCTTGGGGATGACTTTATGTACCTTCTCTATTAGGCCAAATGTCTCTCTCTGTTTCTTGATATGTATCTGGGTTTTTATATACATGTCTCAGAGATCAGATGTTATTATTATTATTTTTTTTGCCACAATGTTCTTCAAAGGTTACCTGAAACTCTTTGTTGATTTTCCCATAGGACTTTTTCAACGAGCAATAGCTCAAAGTGGAACAGCCCTTTCCAGCTGGGCTGTTAGTTTCCAACCTGCAAAATATGCTAGAATGTTGGCCACAAAAGTTGGTTGCAATGTTTCAGATACAGTAGAGTTAGTGGAATGCCTCCAGAAGAAGCCTTACAAAGAACTTGTTGATCAAGATATTCAGCCTGCCAGATACCACATAGCCTTTGGACCTGTGATCGATGGTGATGTCATACCAGACGACCCCCAGATATTGATGGAGCAAGGAGAGTTTCTCAACTATGACATAATGTTAGGAGTTAACCAAGGGGAAGGGTTAAAATTTGTTGAAAATATAGTAGATAGTGATGATGGTATATCAGCTAGTGACTTTGACTTTGCTGTTTCCAATTTTGTTGATAATTTATACGGCTATCCTGAAGGCAAAGATGTTTTGAGAGAAACCATTAAATTCATGTACACTGACTGGGCTGATCGGCATAACCCTGAAACCAGAAGGAAGACACTTTTGGCATTATTTACTGACCATCAGTGGGTGGCACCAGCTGTAGCCACAGCAGATCTTCACTCAAACTTTGGTTCACCTACATACTTCTACGCCTTTTACCATCATTGCCAAACAGATCAGGTTCCAGCTTGGGCTGATGCAGCCCATGGAGATGAGGTTCCCTATGTATTGGGAATCCCCATGATTGGTCCCACAGAGTTATTTCCTTGTAATTTCTCCAAAAATGATGTGATGCTGAGTGCTGTCGTAATGACATACTGGACAAACTTTGCCAAAACTGGGTATGTACTTAAGGAGTGACGTTTACTAGAATTTTAGTAGAAAATATCCCTTTAAATATTTTTAAAAGCAATACATATTTTGTGCCCAAATAATTTAACAAGTTGATAGCAGCAATATAGCAATTTCTTTTTGTTAAAAATTAATTCTATATTATAATGTTTCAAAAAGTCATTACTATTTTAGTTTTGTTTTTTAAAAGTTTATTGAGAAAGGCTTATGTCTCTATTACATTGCTGAAAAATCGTTTATGTTTTTGTTTTTTTGTATTACACAGAACTTATTTTTGTTGCTATTTAGTAGTACAAAATATTATTTCATAGTTTTTCCAGTTCATAATACTGTGCGCTATTTAATCTTTCTAAGAACCGTCTGAGACAAAGTCAGATACTATTAATCCTATTTTACACAGAAGGGTCCTGAGGTTCTGAGAGTCTCTTATAGATATTCGTAGTATTTCTGATATGTAGCAGCACCATGACTCAACTATTTATCTGCCAGTCCCAAACCTCAAGTCCTTCCTTTCTATTTTTCCATGCCATTTCTATATAGATTTCCTATAAGATAACTCATATGTATATAAATATTTAAATAATTTTTAAAAATCTTGGAATAGCTGAATGTGGAGGAACATACCTGCAATCCCAGCTGGCTCTGAAGACCAAGGCAGGAGGATTGCAAATTTAAAGCCAGCCTCAACAACTTAGCAAGACCCTGTCACAAAATTTAAAAAAAAAAAAAGAGGCTGAGATATGGCTCAGTGGTTGAGTGCCCCTGGGTTCAATCCCTGGTACCAAAAATAGATAGATAGATAGATAAATCTTGGAATAGATAGCAGCCTGTTTCTAGTGGACACAGAGGGCAAGAATGTGAGACCTATTATTTTGTATTTTCAGCCATCTAGTAATCTGCCTCTTATATGAGATTTAAATTTCTAAATTGACCCAAGTTAATGTTAAAACATAATCTAAAGCCTTGTTGTGTTACCTCTTCACTTGACATTAAACTAGTGATATTTTGACTATGGACAAAACAATCTTGTTCTCATAAATTCTTTTTTCTTTCTTAGTGACCCCAATCAACCAGTCCCTCAAGACACAAAATTCATCCATACCAAACCCAACCGCTTTGAAGAAGTAGCATGGACCAGATATTCCCAGAAAGACCAACTTTATCTCCATATTGGATTAAAACCAAGAGTTAAAGAGCATTACAGGGCCAATAAGGTGAACCTCTGGTTGGAGCTGGTACCTCATCTGCATAATCTCAATGACATTTCTCAGTATACCTCGACAACAACTAAAGTGCCATCAACTGACATCACTCTCAGACCCACGAGAAAAAATTCTGTACCTGTCACATCAGCCTTTCCCACTGCCAAGCAGGATGATCCCAAACAACAGCCAAGTCCATTTTCAGTGGATCAAAGGGACTACTCAACAGAGCTGAGCGTCACTATTGCAGTCGGAGCATCACTGTTGTTTCTGAACATCTTGGCCTTTGCAGCCCTGTACTACAAAAAGGATAAGAGGAGACACGATGTCCACAGGAGGTGCAGCCCTCAGCGTACTACCACCAACGATCTGACCCATGCACAAGAAGAGGAAATCATGTCCCTCCAAATGAAGCACACTGATTTGGATCATGAATGTGAGTCCATCCATCCACATGAGGTGGTTCTTCGGACCGCCTGCCCCCCAGATTACACACTAGCTATGAGAAGGTCACCTGATGATGTTCCCTTAATGACACCCAACACCATTACAATGATTCCCAACACTATACCAGGAATTCAACCCTTACACACATTCAATACATTTACTGGAGGACAGAACAATACTCTGCCCCATCCCCATCCCCACCCCCATTCACATTCAACAACCAGGGTATAGCCAGATAAGAGAAACAAACTATTTTTTTTTGATGGATTGCAGTAAAACAAAATTACTGAAGATTCCTTGGCTTTCAACCTACAAGACTCTCACTATTTAAATAAGGAGGAATATTATGTGAATATACATATCAAGAACTTTGGGGGTTTTGAAAAAAATGAATTGTATAAATATATATATATACACAAATCAACTCTAAAAACAAATTTCAATTGCTTGAAGCAATTGTTCTGAATGATACTTTTTCATTCATATTCAAGAATTAATTTTTTGAAGATTTAAGTTGCATAATGGAATTAGGCATGTGGAACACCGAACAGGAAAGAACTATGTCCGAAATATAAAAAAAAATTTAAAAACAACTATGAATATGCACAAGGGACACACCAATGGAATGTCAGATAATTTTCACCAGTTTTTATTTGGAGCTGTTTTATTGTGTAAACCATATTTACATATTTGGATAAGTACACAAAGCACCAATGCTGTTAATGGCCTTAGCGGAGGCTCATGCTGAAATTTGCCAGTAAAACAAAGGAGTTTAAAGACTGGCAGGTACAACATTATCACATAAGTGCTGTCAGTATAAAGTTGTGGGGATAAAGGAAACTGGATATTTTTAGCACGATGTGCATGATAATTTATATGCTTGGTGGCTGTGCTGCTGATTAAGCCGTAATTAAAATTTTTCTCATCCCATTGGAGTTTTTAATACAAGCTTCCTCCATCAATTGGCAGAACCTAAAGAAGATTTTAAGGGGCAAAAGTAATTACAGTAAAATAATTCACAGTAGCTTCAATAATAGAAGGAATTAGCTAATAAAGGTATTCGAAGAAATATAGGTATAGTGGTGAATACTCGCTGATATGAATCCCAGAAAAAAAAATTTCCTGAGTTTTTAATGTTCTTTTCATTCCCATCTAAATAATTTATAGAAATATAACCCTAATTGGACATGTGTTACTGGCTCTATAATTTGCTGTGTTTTTTTTTTGTTATTCTGTAGTTTGTTCCTTTTGGTAAGGTGAAGTGTGTCCAAAGAGTTGTTTGAAACAGTCTTTTATGATATGAAGATGCCCCAATATTACCACTCTGATGACAGTTCTCAGTTAATTGATTTACTCATGTTGCATGGCAAAATGTTTACCAATAATAATTCAATATAAAGTTATGTCCCTCTTCACATCACTTATCTTTCTCACTGAGGTTCATTCACTGGAATTTACTCACGCAATCTCAGTAGAGTGTGACATAGATAAAGAACCTAGGAGAGTCAACACCCGGAGGATTTTAGTCTTACACATGTGTGTGATTTTAAATGAATACTCTAAGATCACAGGAAACTCTTCATCCCCTTGTTTACCAGTAATATCAGTATATCACTGACCTTTCCAAATGTTTGTATATGTAATCCGATGTACATTTATATTAAAACAATGAGATGGACTTAAAGAGCACATCCTGATAAATACTTTCTCTCTTACCTGTACTATATTTCTATTAGACTAAAGTTATGTGATTTTTTTTTACATTTTTTCAGATGACTAGCAATTTTGATAGTTTGTAAGATAATGCAAAGAACTTTCTCTGACAAACTAACTGCAGTAACAGAAACCTTTCTTTTCAGTTACTCTTTTTCAAGAATGAAAGCTTATTATACAAAAGAAAAAAATTGTATACTACTTGATGGAAACAACTTTGTACATCTTGGCCATGTCACTGGTCATTGCGTGAAATAAAGATAATCTGGATAATGACTATTAGTCAAATGCTAAGAGACATGATCTTTGCTCATTAAAGAGCTAAAATGTTTATTGCTGTTTTGTCTTTTTTTACAAAACAAAAACAAGAGAAACATGACTGTCTCAAAGGGTCATTTTTCTAGACCAGTCGGGTTTTTGAAGACACATAGGTAACTTCTACAGAAAAACATGACCATGTGTTTAAAGTCAATTCTTGTCGAAGATTGAAACTTCAACATTATGGATTTATAAGCTCCAGAAACTCTTGAAAAATATTAGCTTTGTATTTTTAAATACCCCTTTTGTGAATGTGTTTTAGAAATAAAGTGCCAATTGTTTTCCATTAGAAACACAGGTTACAATTCTGATCATCAGGGAGAAGGTCTTTTGGAAAGAAATGTGCAAAAATTCATGAAATATATGACTCTAACTCAGTGCTTTGCCTTGCATGCACAAGGCCCTGGGTTCAATCCCCAGCACCAAAAAAAAAAAAAAAAAGAAAGAAAGAAAGAATATTTAAGTTGATAATATAAGGGTAATTAAGTTGTCATAAAGTAGCAGATAGAAAGTTATCCTTGTAAGAGAACTTACAATTGCTGTGCAAGACATTAAATTATACTAAAAGATAAAAGTTTATTTCAAGGGATTTATTTGATTACAATTTCTCCTCCCAATTACGAACCTTCAGTAAAATGCAGATATGGCTCCATAATTTCAAATAAAAATCTCTGTTAGAAGCCAAAAAATCCAGAGTCTTCAAAATCCAGAGTGGTCTACATTCAGTCTTTGCCTGATGTGGTTATGCTTTTAGACTGTGAACTGCCAATGTAAACCAATAAAAGGAATTGCTTAGCATCTGAAATATTGTTTAATCAGAAGACTGTCTTTTACTATATTGAGTAAACAAAAGATAAAAACAGAACTAGAAATGACAGCAGAGTAAGACAATATATGAATACCTTCATAGGCATTACTTCCACCTGGCAAAACCAAACATTCTATTATGTTTTACTGATGGCCAAATTTCTCCCTATTGTACCCTTATCTGTAAACCTGCCTATCTGTAACATATCTGACATCTACTTCATGTTAAAATTGGGGGAAAAAAGCATTACCCTGTTTATTTCTCTAAAATTTAAGTAGCATCAACTTTGCAGAAGGCAGAGCAGCCAGGTTTTATTGCTCTTCTCAAGTCAATTGGTAAAGTCATTGTGAATGAGTGTTAGTTGTTAGTTTTATAATCACAGCCTCTAGTTTTCTGGATGAGAAACGATATCCCACATTAAGCAGAACATTAAGAACTGTTTTCAAAGCTGCAACATAAATTTTTAAATGCAAGAACTAATTTGAATACTCAATAAATTTTAATCAATATGCTTAAAATGTATTTATTTAGATAATAGCCTCCTTTAGGGAAAAAAAGTAAGTACTAAAAATAAAAGAATATTTTGGCATTATTTATTAATTCAGATTTTCTTGATTCATATTAAATTGTAACCTAAGCAAGGCTGCTTAGACTTTGTATAAACATTAAGCCAAAATGAACTTTATTTTATTGTTTTGTTTTTCTATAAATTTTTTGCCAAACGTTTATTAGAATAATGTTGTTTTAGAGTATGAGGGTAAAAATGTTAAAATGACAGATTTCATAGTTTTCAATTTTTATTAAATGTGTTGACTATGAACAAAATCTGATTTACTACTACAGGTATTTAATAAATTTCATCATTAATTTTATGCAAATTGGAGCATAATTTGCTAAAATGTTACAAATACCCAATTTGGAGACATCTTTTCAACTCAAATGAAATGAGTGTGGATAATTTCATTTCTCAATAGAATTTAAAAGTTGACCAAAAAATTCTTTATTTCAGACTTCTTAATCTGTATAACCTGAAAAGAGCAACATTAATATATATATATATATATATATATATATATATATATATATATATATATATATAAACCATGTTTACTAAGCAGGAAAACAAGATGGCAATAATTTTCTTACAGAAATGAAATGCCAAATTTCAATGGCTGTATGTAAAAAATGTTAGATGATGACAGTTATTTCACCTGTTGGTATATTCATATTCAAATGCATATTATTGTCAAGAAAGGATAGAAGAAATGTAGTAAATATGTTCCAGCTTTAAAGACACTACTACATAGAAATTACTGGGATTCTTTTCCTTGGCGAGTTTCACTGAAATACTTTCACAGGACAATATGAGTGGAGTTTTTAGGAAGTTGTGAAACATCATAGAAATCCTTTGATGTTAGTGATTTTATTTCTTTCTGTGGTGTTGATTCAAAGTACTGGCCTTTTCCTTCATTTCCAGTAATTAGTTGTTACAGACTATCACTTTTTAATGTGAGTGAAAATTAGATAATTTGGTTATACTTGTGAAAACATGCTCCCAAATAAATTCAATTAATGGGCACTTCCCTGCTGAGATTTTTGTTATCATTCATTTAATTATCTTGCCAAGCTTTACTGTTACATCAATCGTTTTAGCTTTTTTGTCAAAAAAGTAACAGAATGTCTGCAATAGCCTTATACATTTCCTGCACTTGATATTGACAATATACCAATATACACTTCAGATTTCCATTGTAGTCTCCAAAGTTCCTTAGAAACTTCAGGTGACCGACTTGATTCTTTTCCATAAGCATTGCGATTTGGTTTTAATCTGGCACTTTGCTGTATTTATTGTATACAGGCCAGAAATTAATTCCCTAATTAATGTGATTAGGGTTATGGAGAATATAAACTGAAATAACCATGTGCAGAGCCTAAGTGCCTTTTCCTTTTGGAATTTTATTTATAAAACTTAACTTTTTTAATTTACAGATTTTGATTAATTTGATTTAAAAAACAACTTAAATGAATAGGTTTACAATTGCTAATAAGAAAATATTATTTGGAAATTGTGCAATTAATTTGAGTTTTGTAGGATATCAAATGGGTACAAATGCCTCTTTGGAAAGAATGAAGTCATTATTTTTTTTTTTTGAAACATTTTTTTTTAAAGATTTTCCAAATCTTTAGGCATCTGATTTGATGGTACTTAAGAACAGAAACTTCAATCTCTAACAAACTTTTAAATATTTCCAAATATTGAATTTAATTTAGAAATCTGAAGGTATTAGGAACAAACATAAATAAGATACATATATAATTTTTCTGGCCATCCATTATGTACTATATCATACATATATCTATATACTACATGGTTCATAGGATATTTATGATGGCCCTTTTAGATCCATATATTTACAAATAACATTGTATATCTTCCTAAATTTGTAATAATATGACAGGATTCAGTATTCCATGGAAAGCCAAGCCAAAGTACAAGCAGTGTTGTGTTGAAATAAATGATAACAAAGCTTTAAAGAGATTTGTAAGACACAATAACGAAAACTCAGCAGCTGAAGTTCAAACAAGGGGACCATTTTTGAATGCCATTTTCAGAGCTGATATCTATATTAGATGAAGTGTTTAAAAAGTTTTAGTGTTTTTGATTCATTATTTCTCCGCATTCATATCAATTAGCAAATTAATGCGTCATATATCATGGTTTTTGTAAAAAAAAAAAAGGGCCATTGGGTTGTCATGGTTCAGTTTGTGTTTGGACATCCATGGCTTTCATTAAAATGCATTTATTATCATGAATAAATATTATCATATTTTCCAAGTTGTGTTGGCTATTTTTAAATTCAGAAATAATTTCTTCTGCTTGGCATGCCCTAAAACATTTGTAAGATCAATGTTCCCTTACAACTTCTTGATATCCCCCATATGTGTGATGATGGTTCTAATTTGATGGAAACAATTACAGGCTTATGTTCTGTTTATCTCTTGGTGGATTCAGGGAAAGGACATGGAGAATTGTGTTTGGAAATTTGGACAGAACTTGTCAGAAGAGAAGAGCGAAAAGGGAGAGCAGGAGGAAGGAAGGAGGCAATGGGGAGCCAAGAGAAACTTCCCAGTTTGAAGTCAGTTTTCCCTTGGAGTGGTTCAATAAATAGAGATGTGTTTATAAAAAGGAAAACAAAGGATTTAAATAAATCCCTTTAAAGCATAAATTTACTGTCCATAGAGAACAAGATTACTAACATGTAAGAAAATGCACTAAACTTAATCCTTGATCCAAGTCTCAGTCAAATTTTGTCCCTAGAAATAAAGAAAATGAAAACCTGGAGTAATGTATTTCTAATCTTGTACTATCCAATCAATAATGACCTTAGGAGAGAAAACCATTTTATATATGGCCACCTTTTATCTGTGTAACCCAGAAAACAAGTAGGGCATCATGAAATTTTCCCATACATGGCTTAAACATCAATGCTTCCCAATTGCTAAAGAAAAGAAGTGATGCTGTTTTGCAGATCTCTGCTGCATATGGCCATCGGTACAAAATAAATTAAATGATTCAAAAACATATTCTGAGAGTTCACTTTCTATAATAGAGAGTTTTGATGTTTTGTAGAATTTGGTGTCATTAGATATGAATACACTTTTCACTGCATTTTTACATTTTCTTACAGTTTGCAGAATGTTATTTCTGAGTTCAAAAAAAGTCCCAAATATATTCTATAAATGTTATGTAAAAGCAGAATTTTCCAGTGAAGTGCTATAATTTGAAGTACTTCCTACTACCACATTTCTAGCGAGTCGCTTTGAATATCTCTTTAAAACATTTCTATCTCCCTTGAAAATACTCAACTTCACTCCCAGAGCTGCCTTCCTCTGCACCATAGGGGATCCTCCCAACAGTTACTACAGCTTCTATTTCCATGAACTGTCTTATTTCTATTTATATCTTCTTCTTTTTCAAATGTGTGGAATTTGTGAGGCAAGTCTTAAAAGGCGATCTAACTGGTGCCTTGGGAATGCTTCCTCTGTTTTTGGGCAGATTAGAAGCTACATGAATCAAGCAATGAGAGGAATTAATCACTCATTCCTTCGTCACTGGTGCTACCATGTGTCAGACAGTGTGGTGGATGTTGACGCATGGACCACCGCTATGGCTTACCCAATGATATATATAACTATGGGAATAATTTCAAAAACTTGAACTGATTC